GGGCGGGGAACCGCGGGCGGAACTGGGGCGGCGGGGGGGCCCTGGCGGCCCGGGCTGCGGCGGCGGGTCCGTGCTCAGCCGCTCGGCCTTGGTTCCTGGGTGTGGGGGCTTCTCGGCCGCCGGCGCACACGGGGCGGAATAGCGGGGGCGAGAAGCGCTGGGCTGAGCTGTTTGGGTGGGGGGGGCGAGAGGAAGAATTGCCCCCGTGCCTCTGCGGAGCGGTGTTTGTATGAAGCCAATAGTTGGTGGCTCTGCAGGCTCTGCTTGGGGTGTGGGTGAAATACCGGGTCCCTCTTGCAGGGGGTGTGAAAGTTGCCTTCTGCTGAGGCGCCGTTCGGAAGCGTTCGGTTATGTGCTTCGTCTTGTTTAGTAACAGTTCATTAAAAAGATCATTAACTTGGTAATTTATACAACCCAGTTTATCCTTTGGATGACTAACGTGCCTGGGGCTGGTCGGGAGCGCGTTCAGCGGTATTTTCTCATGGAGTAGTTAAGGAACAACGAAATTCAGATCTTGGCTGCAGTTTCTACGGTGTAACCCAATGTGTACGTGAACTGTTGATGTCTCGCTGCAGTTTCTTGATGTGTACAAAACGGAGTTATTTACACTTAAACATGAGCAGCAGCTGACTCGAACTGTTACTATCAAATGCTTCTCTTCAGCTACGGTTTTTACCGGTAATGATGTCGCTATTAAAAATAGGCCAGTTTGTTCCAGCAGCGCTCCTCGGCTGAACAATAGCACAGCATTGCAGAAAGCGTCTGGGGCTCAGGGTAGGGGGGAGAGGCTTTTACATGTAGTCATGGGAAACGTGTTTCTGTTATTGGATCCTGAAACTTCTATGGAATACCCTGTTTTAGCTATACCTAAAAAAAATAAAATCGCATGCCATTTTTCCATGCTTCCTCTTTTTCTTGTAAAGGTTGAAAGAGTAATCTCATTTGTTCTGACTTAGACGGTTTTTATAGTGTTTCCTGGAACAGTTTGGAATGTTAAGCTGTATGGGATACATCCTTTTGTGTTTTAAGCAATAGGTGAACCACTGCAAATGCTCACATGTTAAGCACGTCACAGAAGTGCTATTGCTGAGAAAAGATGGTGTGCTAAATTCAGTTGCTGGAAGCACTAATTAATATGAGTGAGAAGTTAAATGTGGGAGTGGTGGTGGTTTTTTTCTTTTTTTTTTTTAAATATACTGCTGTCAAGCTTTTTAAGCTGATGCTGAAACTTTCACTTAGTTTTGCACTTTAAAGCACATGATATGTATTTATCAATGTGGATTTTCTGTTAGCAACTCTTCTGTGGCTGGCATGGAATTCATGTGCATATTTGTCCTGCTCCAGCACAAGCATTGCTCATAGCAGAACCTTGTGCCAAATGTCTGAGAGGATAAGAAACTAAAACCTACTGTACAAGTCATCCCTTTGCAGAGTGTCGGGAAGCTCTTGTGTGACTGCTAAGTGGTTGTGTCCTGTCCTAGCATTTCTTAAACTCTTCCATAAACTTTCTTTGCTAGAAGTGGCATGCATGGAAATATTCAGCCAGCCACAAATATTGGAGCACAATATTGAGTAACACTTCTTAGGCGTTTAAACTTTCTGCTGTAATTTGATGAGATGTAATTGCCATTTAGACTTATTTAAGATTAAAAAAGAGGATTTTGATATTTTTGCAACCAAGGTGTGGCCTCATTAAACTAGAAAGCCTGAAGCACTTGCAATCAATCAGGAGAAATAATTATAAGTTCTTAATTTAGCTTCAGGTGAACTTTCTTGTATGAGAAACTCAGTTTATTTTTGATTAGGAAAATATTAAACAGTAAAATAGTGTTTGTAGAACTACGTTGCTGTAATAATGATGTTACAGGATGGTATCAGCATAGGTCTTCAAAGGATAAAGGTGTCTTTCAGTGAATAAGTTGCTTCCCACCTAAATCCTCCCAAATGAGACACACCTACATGCCAAAGCTGTAACATAAGAAAGATACTGTTCTATTAAATGCAGCTGAATTATTTGAAAAATATTGGGTCTGCTCCAATCCCCTTGTGTGGTTTTGCCCATATGTTTTTTTTTAGGCTGAGCTGAAATGTAATTGTTGGAGAGACCCAGGTGTTCAAAAATGAGCTTAAATGGAACTTCTACTTCACCTTAATCACTCAGATAAACTGTCTGCTGGATCGTGGTGTTTAATACTGACTTATGAGCAGGGCATAAGCATGTACACAAGTCTGTTAAATTCTGAGCTTCAAGATTGAATAAACCTTGATTAGAATTGTTTTTGTTATGTCATTGTCTGTAAAGGGAAATAAAAAGTCTAGTTAGATAAAACCTGTATCAAACATCTATCTGTAAGCTGTTCATAGGGTGAAGTACAAGATTTAAGATGTGCTACGGAAGGCAAAGTAATTTGCTTATTCTAAGTAGCCTTTAAGTTCCCCTTTAAAAATTAATGTACTAATTTGGCAGGTTATTTTCCCAGCCAGTATTTGTATACTGGATATTGGAACTTGCTTCTTCTGTATGCCCAGTAAAACTGACCAGGCAGGCATGATTCTGTACTCCTGTTTGCTGCAGTGGACATTGGCAAACTTGAAGAGACCTGTCTTAAAGAATTATATTTGAGAAATACCTCCTGCTTTATTTCCTCACTGTTTTCTTTTTTTCCTCACTGTCGTGCTTCAACATGACTTGACTTTCTGTGTAAATCTCTTCTTTGTCTCTGTTTAAACTTGCTTTGATTTCTGTTTTCACTCTTAGACCTAATCAAATCAATATGGTGTATTCCTTACTACTTTAAAAAATCTTGGAAGATCTTGGCTTTAAGTGAAGGTAATGAGGTTTGTAATTTATCCACATCACTTTTTAATTGCTCAGAGTAAGATTTGTCATTTTTCATGTGTGGCATTTCTAGATATTTCTTACCTTGTTTTGAATTGTCTTCTGTTAGGGGAATGTAGTGCTCCTGACAGCTTGGCTGGTCAGGAGAAGCATTGTTACAATCTTCTAAACTCTTTAGCCTGCAGTCAGCTTTTTAACTAGCTGTGGTAGGTTATTTGTACTTTGTATTAACTAGGTCCTACTATAACCACCCCGTCTTGTCTACAGCCGTGTTGTAGAGTGGTACAAATGCATCTGTTCTGCTTCGGGCTCTGTTGTGCCTCCT